ATCACCACGACTTTGTCGTGTTTGCATTTGTCCGTGCGATCAGCCCTCTCTCCACTTGTGTACTTCATACTGTCCTAAGCAGCTTGAACAAACAACAAAACAGACACATAGGTAAACCGCACTCTAAATATTGGAACGCGTAAAGTGATAAATTATCGCAATGCAGAAAGCGAGTGACACTGTACTGTTAAATAACCGGGACACATAAACTAGTAAATTATCACAATATCTGCATTAACTCTTTCCAGCATGGCGGTCATCCCAGGTAAGCAGCTTTTCTCCAGTTTTTCTTCTTCAAACAAGTGAGCCCCCCCGCGTCGCATTTTCGAAGGCACATCTTTAACGCGACAGCGTTAAAAAGTTTGTTTCCCAGAAATTTCGGCCTCGGCATCGTTATTGGCGTCATTGGTTGTGCCCGAAAAGTATATCATTCTTGAGTTATGAAAAAATAGAGAAAGGTGAGAAGAATGTAAAATTTTAAAATATTCGGAGTCTGAGTAACGATCGAACGTGCCATGGGTCGTTTGCATGTCATGCGGGTGTTTTACCACATAGCTACGCTTCTACAAGTGTGTAGAGTGAAAATAACTTCATCTGCTTGGAAATGCACTGAAAGTATCTTTCATGCTTCACACACACTCACGTGCTGTATACAGGCTTCACAAGTCAGCATTTACTATTGCCGTAATAGTGCGTGATACAAGCGTACCTTGCCATCAGCGTCAGAACATAATTACTTCATTATTTGAAGCCAGTCACATTCCACAAAAGGCACACGTGCTACTAGAACATTAAGGCCACGCATTGGGGCTGAGCAAATTCGAAAACATTTGATACACTAAGCGTTAGAAGTGTGCACTAAGAACAAAATATCGCTTCCGCGTTCAACTTTTGAGGACGATTATTAAGGCTCCCCCGATTTTATCACAAAAGAGTTTGATGCCGGGGTCCCGCAAGACTTCACTGACGTATTTCTGTCACGGAAATGACGTTTTTTTTAAAAAAAACAGCAGGTGCATAAAAATGAACAAAAGGAAAAAAAATGCAAATTCAGAGACCCTGGACTGGAGCCGACGACCTATCCGTTCTCGACTTGTGAAACGCACTTTGCCACGACGAGGACCACACCATCTACGCTTAAGATAAAATAACGATGAACGACCTCGTAGAAAACAAATTGAATCAGTGTTCCAAGTTCATTGAAATTCCTGAAGGTTACGCTGGAGTAGACGCTGAATACGAAAGACTTAGGGCCAATCGCCGCTGAGCTGAAAGAAAATACAGAAATACAGACGCACGGGTCTACTTGAAGATTACGGCGACTGTAAAAAACGTATGACCGCATGAGACGACAGCTAGATACACTAGGCACAAAAGGCTGGCGGGAATTCTGCACTTCGCTAACGCCACTTACACCCGAGTCAAATTTATGGAATGTTATACGCTCTTTAGGTGGGACAGTAACACATCACCAATCATTTAGAGCCTTAGCTTTAGTGAAGAATGTACCAGAAACGACCGTTGCGGATGAATTTTGTCACCATAATACACTACCAAGTGCAGCCGGGCACACGCATGAATACATTAAGTCTGTTGGGGATATTTAAGCATTGGTTACTATTTCTCTAAATATACATCATGATGACCTAGATCATCCGTTTTCCCTGCAAGAATTAAATAATGTTCTTGCAGCGTGCCGACTGAAGACAGCAGCTGGTCCTGACGGGATAACATAAGCAGCATTAAAAATCTTGGTACTGTGGCCACGTATACTTTGTTGAAGATATATAATAATGCATGTACAACAGAGTGCCTTTTACCCTCCTGGAAAGTTGCAAGAGTAGTCCCAATTCTCAAACCCGAAAAAATGCCTTTATCCATTGATTCTTCCCGCCCTGTCAGCTAGACTAGCTGTCTTTGTAAACTTATGGAAAATATGACAGACACTAGACTTCAGTGGTTGGTGGAATGTACGAACGTGCTTCCAGAAAATATGGCAGGCTTTCGTAAACACCGCTGCACCACGGATGCCATTTTAGACATTGTAACTTATGTAGATTATGAGAGGAGCTGTGGAAGAGGAATCGTCGTTGCAGTATTTCTAGATAAAAAGCCAGCATTTGACACAACCAGTCACGCTCATGTACTACACGGTTTAATTCAGTTGGGAATAGTAGGCAGAGCACTAAGATGAATTGCAAAATTTTTAAGAGACAGGAAAATCTTCATTGACATGGCTGACGGTAAAAGTAAAGAGCATGAAGTTAATCAAGAGTCCCACAAGGTAGCTTACTAAGCCTATTTTTATTTATTGCGTTATGGCTGAAATATCCCATATATTACCTACTAGTTTGAAATATTCCGTATATGCAGACGATCTGTGCATTAGAGGGCATCAGACACGAGCATTCAGGCAGTTCAGCAAAAACTTCAAGAAGGGCTGACAATTCTCAAGGACTTTTTAAAGAGTAGAGGCATGATTCTTTCGCATGAGAAAACATCTGTACATCCATTCACAAGGAAATGCCTTAAGAAATTTAAACTTCAGATTGACTCTCAGCGCTTACAACTTGTGCGACAGCACAAAATTTAGGAGTTATTTTAGACAGACGTCTGTCTGTGTTGGGCACCACAGACAAAATCATTAGAGGACAAAGTCAACTCCCTAATCAATATATTACGTCGACTGACCGGAGTGAGATGAGTAGTTCATGTTCTTCTTTATTGAGCGTACATTCAGCAATAATTCGATAAAGAATAGCTTACGCTGCCCCTGTTTTGCATGATATATCATGTAATTTAGAGGAGAGAATTCAAAGATTGTTGGGCAGAAGCCTTCGTATGTGTCTTGGTGTACCGCAAGCGTCTGCCAGTGCTTTAGTAATTGCGGAGTCTCGTCAACTGACTTTCCATGCTATGAGATTTACGGAAACTTGCCGACATTATCTTCGGTTGGCATTTCAACACGCTAATCATCCCCTATACCGAGTTATTCAGGAGAAATCAGCTGCAAGAATACATAAATCTATAGTAGAATTCAAGAGTTCACTGCCTACGCACGATTATTGGCCTCCATGTGCATCCCACCCACCATGGCGACTCTCTATCTCACATATTACAACTTCGATTCCGGGAATAAATTGTAAGAATGATATGCCCATAACTGCAAAAAGCAATTAACTTTAACACACCTTTATACCAATTATGAAGACTATATTCACGTGTACACCGACGAATCATGTCTGAATCTAAGTTCTACGTCAGCATTTTTGGTACCTGCATACCAAGCGAGAAAAGCTTTTAAACTCAGCCATTTTACAACATCCACAACAGCAGAAGTTTATGCAATACTCTAGGCTTTAGGCTTCATATGTTTACAGTCAGGTCCACTTCGATGGTTAGTTATCAGTGACTCAAAGTCCTCATTAGTTTCTTTAAAAGGAATCTGCTTGAGCAGCAAAGCTAGTAAGCTCGCATATGAAATACAGAGGACGTACGCTATAGCAAAAAATTTAAATCACACCATAATGTTCCAGTGGGTGCCAAACCACTGTGGAATCACAGGAAACGACATAGCTGATCACATTGCACATGCAGCACATCAATAAAATAATATATCACTTGCTTCCTCTATCGATGAGCGATGCACGGTGTCTGATAAATAAGCTGAGCTGTCAACTGTCTAAGGAAATCTGGTTCGAAAATGGTGCGCAAAACTCTCTCTTGTATAACAATGATCCCGGTATAAAATTTAATATTCCGTTAAAGGTTAGCCGATCGCTGGAAACAGTCATCTATAGGCTTCGACTTGGTACAGCCTACACGAAGGCTTTCCTGTATAGAATAAGGAAAGCTGGTAGCCCTACCTGCTCATGTGCAGGAGCTCAAGAAGACGTGGAGCACACTCTTCAGCATTGTAAAAATTATGACGTTCCTCGAAAGAACCTTTTTCAAAAACTCGATTCGTTGGATAAGCAACCTCCATCAATTGCAAAAATCTTGGGTCCATGACCAAAACGGAAGCTAAATGCCACTGCAGCGCGTGCAGTCGCTCACTTTCTGAAGGAAGCAGAAATAGCTCAGAAGTACTAAAAAAAGACAAATGCACTTCACTGTTAACCGGGGTATGTTTCAAAACAGTATTTTGTGTTTCACTACGATATTTTTGGGAATACCTTTCTGAAAAGAGTTCAGTATTTAGGCGACAAAATCACCTTGGACATTTCTTTGAACATTCACGTTTTTGTGTGAACACTTAAATTGACGTGAATACTTGTGTTTTATTACAAATTCAGTGTGGTGCGGACACATTTCTTTGCACTGTGGACCCATTTCTGTGTGGTGTGGACACTCAGTGTCGAGAAACGTGAACTCATTGCGTAAGTGTTGTGCTATGTACATATGTATAGCCTTGTGTGTGCTACAAATTGTGCGATGTTGACTTTTGTGCAAGAGAAGAGGACTAGCCGGCGCCACGCATTGGCACCAACCTCTCCTTACATACATTTAAATAAAAAAACGACCGCTTCTTTGTTTGGGTGAGTCATCGCAATGATGCGTTTTCGAAGACTAGTCTATTTAATGGTGTTACGAGAGGCTATTGCTCGAAACGGTCACTTTATATGTCGTGTACTGTATTACTGAGATTAGTTTACTTACACTCTTCAATAGTATACCAATGGGGAGCAAGACTTCACTTCACGCAGAAAGAGCGTTTAAACAAACTTGGAAGTTGGAAAATGAACTGGCTCAGGAATAAAAGCAACCGAGCTGCACTGACGACGGAATAGGCTGGTCATGTGATGTTGTTTACTACATTATAGCGACGGCAGTGCTAGCCTCTCCAGTCGTCGCCCTCGCTCCCAATAACGTGGCATCAAGAAACAAAAGACAGGGTGATTGAAGAAACTTCGGAAGGGCCTTTGTCCTGCAATGGGCGTAGTCAAGCCGATGATGCTTATGATGACATTTCTGAATTAGTCACAAACATTTCTTTACATTCATTCTAGTGTGAAAGTACGCGTCCCCTTGCCTATGATAGATGGGTTGGTCAGCAGCACGGGAACCAGAAGGACTCCAGAAGCACCGGACAGGAGAGCCACGGCATCCGTGCCGTAATAGTCTGCCACCAGCACGTGTTTCATTGTCATTAGGGTAGCCAGAGCAACTGAAGACGCTGCACGCACAACTACGTGTGTCGCACTGCTGGTCTGAGGTGTCAAGAGAAGCAAGCAGCCCAAGACGAATGCGTTACCAGCCGTCAAGGTGGTTCGCCTCACTAGTCCCACATCTGCTACTAGTGGTAGTAGAACTCTTCCAAGGATCTCAGGCGCTGAAGCGTAAGTGACTGTAAGCTCAGCATGTGCACGAGAAACACCGCTGTCCAGAGCGTAGTCGACTAACGTTGAAAGGTGCACGGCATTGACGTAATCTAACAACACGGATCCCGTCACAACAGCATAGAAACTGGGCTTCAGCAGTGGATGTGGCATTTGTCGAAGCATATGACAAATCTTCACGGCTTTGCTACTCTGAACGGGCCGTGCCTCTTTCTGTGGATATCTGGAAACCGGTGACTCCATTCTGTCCCGTTTCAACCATTGAGGCTCTTTGAGGACAATGGAGAATGCCATCACGTGCATGCTGAGGGCTGCGTATATCAGCAAAGCACCCCGTAGGCCATACGTCGCTCTCAGATAGGACAGCAACGCCGGGAAAACAATGGCGCTCATGGGGTCAGCAGCAAACTTGATGCCGGAAGCGATATCTCTATACTTTTGGAAGTACTGCATTATTTCCACCAGGTTGCACATCAAGACAATGCCAGCTCCAAAACCTGTAAAAGCACAACGAAAAGAAGTACAATCGTGGAAGTGTAAGCACAATTGCCTAAAATCAGATCTGTATCACTCTATTTTTCCATATTATGTTTCTTTTTTATTGACATTTAGCAGAAATTGCCCTGGACCTTTTTTTTTACAGAACACAACAAAGATATGCAATGAAATTGTGAAACAGTGAACTGATCTATACTTGTAAATTTAGGCTCAAACGGCAAGAGTATGTGACACACACAAGGTTTATTTGTCACATTACTTTTTCTGTGATCCATGAATTTTGCGCTATATATTACTTCAATTGGGTACCAAATAGCCAGAACAAGCACCTTGGTAAGGTGATACTATGCTCTGTCTAGAAAATCGCAGTTTTAAGTGATCACCCTTCAAAGGACGGAATCATGACGCTCTCTATCGCTAACTTCCTCGCAGGTTCAGTTTTGAAGCGTACCTCCGTTCAGTAACAACTTTTCCGCAAAGGCGACGCAACGAACACAACAGTAGCAAATTGAGAGGTCAAACGAAGAGTGGCAAGCAGATCGAAACGTTTTCCACGTTTCTTACGCACAAATGATGCACGAAACATATTTATAGGTACAGATTAATGCGAATTAACCTTGCAGTTTTTACATCGCTGTGTCTGAAAAGCGCGCTCTATTCACAAACGGAAACTGTACAACGAGTGCAGTGACCTAAGTGCACCCGGTAACTACAACAGAATTGTTCCGGCGCAAGCCCAAGGTCTACAGCTCCAGCCATCGTGAGATAAGTGTGTGCACGCGTGAGCATCCAACTCCTGGCGCCTTCTCCGGGGGAGGCAAATTACGCTTGGGAGATAAGAGCGCACGCCGCCACGTTGTGAGCATCTGGCGACGCGATCCCATTGCACCATCTCGCTGGTAATGGTGAAAACGCGATAGTTGCCCGAGACGTCCATCGGCGGCGGTGAATGGTAGATATAAATCGGTTGCCCTTTTCAACTTGAACAAGGTGTTCCTTAGTGGCTCAGTGTCTAACGCCTCGCTATCACAAACAAGCGGTTGGACGTTCGATTTCATGCACCGGAGTCTTTTTCAAGATAATTTTTTTTCTTGAGCTTTCATATATTAAGATATGTGTACGGTGAATGACGTCCACGTCGATGCCGGCGGCAAAATGCAGCCGAGAGTGTCCATATGATTGCTATCGCAATAAACTGAACCAATATATCAGGAGATCCTAGCATCCCAATGTGTTTGTAGTGGGTCGCCGTAACATAAATTTGTCATGCTAGGGCAGTAAATGAAGTTTCCGCAAAAAAGGCGAATTGAAGAGTACGCTAACGCTGCCGTATTGCAGAAGTCCCTCCTCAGTTTTATGCTTGGTTCATTACTGAAAAATATCGGTTCTCGGGACTCGAAAAATAAAGCTATTGATCTCCAGAATGACTAAAATTGGATGTATTTTATGAAATAGACAGTTTTGCTGTTTAGTTGTATTTCAGCATATTGTAGCGAAACTACGGGGTTGTTTAAGCTAGACACATCTGAAGACCATCAAGACGAAGAAGCGTTGGAGGAATTCCGCACAGGCAACCAATGACAAGTCAATAGAAGGATTTCGGAGAGCACTCATTGGGGGTTTATTTATCTAATAAAACTTAAATTTACTCACTCCGCTAAGTCACAAATACAAAACATGGAAAATTATGGCACACCCCTCGCCTTGCATGACTGGTTTCCGGTGGTGAGATGCGCTGTTGACCCCGAGTCTGCTCACACCAAAAAGGGCCCAAGTCGCTGCCTAAATAGAGTTTTGCAGCATCCACGGGTGCGTGGACCATTCAGGCAAGCTGAGAATAACCAATCCCAACACGAGTTTTCTTGGTCATGTGAAGCCTGCCTAGCAACAAAACTGTAGCAGCTTTTTGAAACGGGCATATTCTCTGAAACGGTCTTGATGCACACATAAGTGCTCAAATGACGCTCCCCGATTACCCCCGAGGACTCAAGCGGCACCTCGCTGGTTTGGGTCAGTGGTGGTAGTGGTTAGCAGAGGAGAAAGGCGCCTAATTTCCGCAGCCTAGTCGGGAGAACGGTGCAGGGCCTGGTTTGGGCAAAGCGCACAGTGACCGACCAGATGCAGGTTTTTCCGTTCAGACTCTCATTCTTAGTCGAGGCGCTCTCCTCGAGACAAGTCGTTAAATAGTGCCTCTAACAAGAGCATCTAGCAAATAACGAACTCCAGCTGTAGCTGAAAAAGAAAAATCTTTCCGCGAGACATCGCCTTCGCGACAAAATCGTGACAGCATGCAGCTCCTCACTAGATTTATGGAACTGTGTCCTGGCCACGAACAGCAAGTGACAGGTTCGCGAGCCGCCTGTTTGAAACAAGCGAAGGCTGCGGTGTTTTTTTTTTCTGTGTGGTACCACACTACATTTACGAGCAGAAAGTTCTCGTAAATATGGTACGCCTAAAATAAATCCTGACAGTGGCGGAGGCTAATACTATAAATACCGTGCTTTTTTATATGGAAAAATAGCAGTCACAGAAATTTATTGCAAGGAGCAGCTTGGCGAAGCGCTGTCCTCGCATAATGGCAGCAGAAAATAGTGGACAGAGTACAACACACAAAAAAATTAAGGCGCGTTAAAGTTTCTCAAACATAACAGCAGAGAGGGCTTCCCTGCTATAAAAACTTTACAAATGATTGTTGTAGAAGACCTCACCATGGATGAAACCAAGGGTAATGGTAATGGTAGCAATGTTTGGGGACCACGCTGAGGCTAAGATGCCGACCCACAGGAGAATACTTCCGATGAGGCCGATGTGGTAGAGGGACGTATATCTCTGCAGGACTGCGACAAAAAGACCTGCAAAGAAATTGTGCCACAATTATTTGTACCTTAGCATACGTTTTGTGCATATGCATGCAGGGCAAATTTAAGCAGGGCTACACGAGAAGACCCGTACATGTGGTGTAGAACTCTTAGCACTATTCTGAATGACCACGAACTTAGGTGTCGCGCTGTGTAATTCAAGATGAGGTGCGGATGAGTGTTAACCCATTTGTAAGCATCAGAACAGTTAGGATGTGCGGACGTGTGGCCCTTATCACTTATTTATTTATTTATTTATTTATTTAATGCATACTGCAGACCTTCACAAGTCCAAGCAGGTGGGCATGGTACAAGTAGCAAGTACATGGTAGACACTCAAGTCACGTAGAAAAGGAAAAAGGAAAGAATTCAACTTTCATGGGATAAAGTCATGAACTGTGCTGAAGCGGATATCAGGCCAAATTACTTGCCCGAACCACAGAATGGGCTATGCGATCAATGCCTCGATAAAAAGCGCCGTCAGAAACAAACTGTTGAGACGTGTTTCAATAACACCATCCCCGTTTTCATTTTATATTGTTACAAGGTTGGTGACGTCGGCACAAAATGCATTTACAAAGAAAAAAACCACAGGCAAGAGTAACAATGGCTGATGGGCACACTCGCGTGCCTGTCAGCTGCTTGTGTACTTTTCCTTCCTTTACTTCATCTCTGTAACAGGACCCCCGGGCGTTGGAGCGCCGTCTTGTTGTGAGTTGAGAAAAGTGCGACAGAAGTAAGGTTTTATGCGTGAAACATGGACAATGCCAACCATTGACGAGTTTGGCAACGTATTGGAGTGCAATGGCGCTATCTCGCAGTTGACGTCACTAACTTGGCGTAGGACTAGGTAGGGTCCTGCGTATCAGGATATAAACTTTTTCGAAGAGACCTACATGGCGACACGGTGTTCAGGGGAGCACGCGGTCACCTGGGAAAAACGTTATATTACGATGCCGGTGGTCACAGCAGGCTTTTTGCATATCCTGTGACCGGGTGAGATAAGAATGCGCAACTTGACGAGCCATGTGATCCTGATCAAAGGCTTCTCGAGCGTACTCGGAAGCAGGTGGCTTGAGAGGCAACGTTGTTTCAAATGGCAATATGGGGTCGCGACCATACAAAAGATAAAAATGTTAGAATACCGTGGTGTCATGTCAAGAGAAATTATATTCGAAAGTCCTATAGGTCAACGTGGTGTCCTTGTCACGATAATCTTCAGGGACGTGCTTTGAAAGCATCTCGGCGAGCGTGCGGTTGAAACGTTCAGTTAGGCCATTAGTTTGTGGGTGGTAGGCAGTAGATAGCTTATACACTGTGGCACACGATCTGAGAGGTCGTCGACGACTTTGGACAAGAAAGAGCAGCCGTGGTCCGTAAGCAGCTTTTGTGGTGCAACATGGTGTAAGATTATGTCATGACGAAGAAAATCCGCGGCGTCAGTGGCACAACTGGTTTGTTGGCCTTCGTTGTCACGCAACGGGTCGCATAATCTGTGGCGACGACGATCTTTCTAGTTCCCAGTGTCGTCGTTGGAAAAGGGCCAAAAGGTCGAGTCGCACCTGATGAAATGGTTCAGATGAGACTTCGATTGGGTGAAGATATCCAGCTGGCAGCAAAGGAGGTTGTTTCCGGCGGTGGCAGAGGTCGCGATTGCCGACATATCGATGCAGTCCTGGCCAGAAGAATCGACTTTGCATGCGGTCATATGTGTGGGCAACACCGAGGTGTCCAGCTGTTGGCACGTCGTGAAGTTGTTCCAGTAAGGCAGGCCATAAATGACGAGGAATAACAAGCAGAAGCTAAGGGCCTTCAGTGTTGAGGTTGCGGTGGTTTCGGATGACATCATGCAGCACGACCATGCGGGATTCAGCATTATCACTGTCACACTGGATGGCGTCGATGATAGTGGGCACTGCCACATCGCGTCTCTGTTCAATGCGCATATTGTTGATGTCAGTTAACGTCATTACGCTGCTTTCCAGGTCAGGAGCAAGGGGATCAGGAGGATCCACCAGATGACGAGAAAGACAGTCTGCGTTCTCATGCAAACAGCCAGACTTGAAGCTGACTCTTAACGAAAATTCACAAACTCAAAGCCCAACGACCCAGACGTCCAGTCGGGTCCTTCAGAGACGTCATTCAGCAGAGGGCGTGGTTGTCCGTAACGACGGAGAATATGCGACCATATAAACATGGCCGGAACTTCCTGACGGCCCTGAATAAGGCTAAACACTCTCTCTCGGTGATGTAATAATTCCTTTGAGGGGAGAAAGCAGGCGACTGGCGTGAGCTATCACGCAATGTCTGCCGTGGGGCCACTGAGTGAGAACTACGCCAATATCGTGGCCACTGGCGTCGGTGCGAACTTCTGTGGCAGCAAAAGGATTTAAGTGGGCAAGCATGGGTGGCGTAGTTAAGTAGCCGATGAGAGCGGTGAACACTTGAGCCTGCTCAGGGCCTAATGAGAACGTGGTATCCTTCTCCAGCAAATATGTGAGTGGCCTGGCAACGTCGGAGAAGTTTTTGACAAAATGACGAAAGTACGAACATAAGCCGATTAAGCTCCGGACGTCGAATGTAGAATGGGGCACAGGAAAGCTACGGACGGTGCGGATCATTTCGGGATGTCGTAGGACGCCAACGGCGTTTACAAGATGGCCCAGAACGGCAATCTAATGGCGGCCAAATCGAAATTTCTTGGAATTGAGTTTTAGCCCAGCTGTTGTGAAGACTGCGAGAATTGCAGCTAGAAGGGTCAGGTGGCTATCGAAAGTAGATGAAAAGACTATCACATCGTAGGTAAGAGAGACAAGTAGACCACTTATAGAAACGAAGGAGAGAGTCTATCATTCGTTCGAATATGGCACAGACATTACATAGTCTAAAAGGCATGACCTGAAACTTGTATCTACCATCCGGTGTAATGAAGGCCGCATTCTCGCGCTCCATATCATCGACAGAAATCTGCCAGTAGTTGGACCGAAGATTAATAGACGAGATGTATGAGCGCCATACAGGCAGTCCAACGCGTCTTCGATGCGTGGTATCGGTTATAGTCTTTTCGTGTGTGTGATCTTGTTGAGGTGGCGATAGTCAACGCAGAAGCACCAAGCACCGTTACTTTTTCTCAAAAGAACGACAAGGGAGGCCCAAGGACTACTTGATGGTTCTATGGCACCTTTGTTGAGCATTTGTTTTCCAATTCCGCTCGGATAACTCTGCGCTCAAAGAGGGAAACACAATAGGGGCGTCGGCGAAGAGTACTGGCGTCACCAGTGTTTATACGGCGCTGAACAGTGGATGTTTTATCTACAGGTCTGCCGTTGAAATAAAAAAATGTCGGTATATGGCGCGAGAAGGCGATGGATGTCGTTGGCTTGCGCTGGATTGAAGTCGGGTGCAAACATCTTCGATAAACGTTTTCGCAGAGAACGGGTGCTGCTGGCTACAGGAGACTAAAGTAAACCATTCTAGGTGGTGAAATCGCTGTTTCGAATTCGTCAGCTTTAGATACGCTGGCCAAGAACATGCCACGAGGAAGCACTTGAGGGCACAAGCTGAAATTGAGAAGTGGGAGCGATGTAAAATTCACAGTGACTGTCAAAAGCGTATGGGGATTGGCGATGTTGCGGCTCAAGAGAACGTTGGCGAGAGAAAGGAGAACATATTGACCATAGGTAACCTGTGGCATTGCGGTCAAAATGACGTAGGTGGCTGCCTGAGTTGACAGTCGCACATTCTGAAGAGAGCACAGGCACGGTGGGGCCGTGCTCTCTACAGTCAATAAGAGCAAATTCATTCGACAAGAAGTCCAGACCTATGATAAAGTCATAAGGGCAGTGGTCAATCCCGACTAAAATGACAGAAGTAGTGTTGTCTTTTATACTTAAGCGGGCAGTGCACAGACCAAAACCATCGACATGTCGTCATTGGCAACACAGAGCATTTGTGCAGCCGCTGGTGTCAGAACTTTCTTTAAACGTGTGCGTAGGCTTGAACTCATGACCTAAATGCTTGCGCTGGTGTCTACAAGTGCTTGTACAGGTACACCGTCTACTTCAACGTCTGTTACACTTCGTCTGGTGGGAACGGAGAGAGATTTTGCTGAGGAAGTCGTTAATGCAGCATCACTTCCGGGGGCTGAATTTCTCAGTTTTCCGAGATGATGTGGCTGGAAGGCACGATACGTTGGGCGACGTATTTGCGGCGAACGAGACTGGTGCGGGCGGTACCATCAAAACGGGCGGTACCGTCAAAATGGGTCATATTGGTTGTTGCACGAGAAGCCGAGAACCATGTGTTGCGTCAGTAAGGAGCAATATGTCCAACGCGGTGGCAGTTTAAACATATAGGGCGGTCATCTGCAATTCACCACTGAGCCGGGTTGCAAGCACGTGGAGAAAACTGCCGATCGGAGGAGGGCATCGCGAAAGGGCGTTCGCTGACTCTAGGCGCGGTAAAATGGCACACGGAACGCACTCCAATGTTTTCAAACTCCTGTCGCACGATGGCTTGAACAAGAGCGGCAGTAACAGGAGTGGTAATGGTACTGCGCGAATAGAACGACGAGGGCGCCATTGCTTCCAGTTCGCGACGAACAATGCGTGTCAGGTTTCCCGGTGGCAACGGACGTTGTGGTGTGGACTGGTCCTCGCACGTCGATGTGGCAGCGGTGTTTGAAAGTCGGGCGAATGTTTGCAGAATACGGTGACTTTTAACTTGCTCAAACTGACGACACTCTTTGTTGATGGCGTTCCCGGTGGAACAGCCCTTGTACATGAGGAGATTGAACGCGTCATCGGCTATCTCTTCCAGGACATGCCCGACCTTGTCACCTTCTGCCGTGTTGCTTTCGGCCTTTCGACAGAGGGCTAGCACGTTTTGAGTTTATATGAGGTATGATTCCGTGGGGTATTGCGCATGAAAGGCCAATTTATTTTTGGCGGCGATCTTACGACTGGCGGTAATGCCAAAGAGCTCTCGCATCTGCT